AGCTGCTTCTGGCTAACAGATAACAACTGCACCAGTGTCCCCCGTCTTTCGGCGCTCCGGTGGTCCCGACAGATGACCCCAGCTTATTCAGTCCCGCACACGTGCACACACCCGCGCGTCAAAATAAGCCCGCCTGCCTAATGGCCACTTCAATATTCGACACGTCCCTCGGGCAAATGCAACACCAATCAAATCCCACTTGAACTCGCTTCACAGCCCTGTGAAAGCAGCTGCCAAGATCAGAACACTCAGTCGACACTCTCGGGCACGACTGGACGCAGTCAACACCAGCAATGGTTTTGCCAGCGGCCACTACTGCCTGAGACAGCAACTCATGGTTCTGTACACAATAAACCCCTCCTTCTATTGACTTCTGCCTTTTAACTTCCACCTGGGATTCAACCTGATGATTGTAGTGATTGAACCACAACCACGTCTTAGACCGCGACAAGGGTGCTCCAGTGGAGGCAGGCAGACCCTCTCTCCAGAAGAAGACCAAGTTAACCCACCAAATGACAATTTTTACGGCTGAAAACATTCAGCTTGATTTAAAGAAATCTCGCAGACAGTGAGGCCCATTTACAATAAGTCAGGAAGGGCTAAATTCGGGTAGGAAGTCAACGACACGCTGATCATCTACCGGCCTAACAATCCAACTATGTTGAGGGCAGAACTGTGCTCGTTTGTAATAAGTCCCTAAAGCTAAACCAGACGGGAAGTGAGTTCACGGGATAAGCCGATACGCACTTTGCCCAGCTCAAATTCCCTAGAATGGTCAGCAATGGGTTATTGGCTTTCTAGGCTTTCTCGAGTAAGCATAGAGTCCTTATCACCAGTATTAGCAGGGCGCTCACTGATGGGTGATGGAACTCCCTCGTTCTGCCGAGCCACTGCTGGCGGGGCTCGACAGTGCGCACCAAAGTGAAGCGGGACGAACGAGTCCAGCAACTGCTCGGTTAGCGCCAATCTACCATTGTTAATATTCGCGATCGAAAACCGACAAGACATCGAGCCCGTGGCGCAGTCAGTTAGAGCATTGGACTTCTACCTAACAGGTCGTGGGTTCGAGCCTCGGGTGGTGCACCACCTGAAGTTGGGCATGACTGGCTGATGAGAGTTAATAACCCAGAAATGGTCATTCTAGTCTCCCTTGCCTTTGTCGGTAATGTCTTCCCACTCATAACAAGTATCACTAGCAGTGGGTACTGAAATCAGTAAAATAATGTTCGGAAATTGCTAGAATTACTACATGCCAGCTGATTTCCTAAAAGGACCATTTTTTACACGCAGTTGACGACCAGAAGATTATATACGATGCACTTGCAGGGTTACTTCGACGTGGTAAAGTGGTCGATAACAGAAAATAAGTTTGACGGGCAGTCAACGTCCAGGGTACCGACCTTCAGCAGTTCGCCCCCTACTTGCAGAATGTTTTTCGAATAAGTGGGTGCTAGTAGCATCCCTCCGAAGGAGACAGAGCTAAAACCTGAAGGACAGACTTACGCCCTGAGTTGGTTCAGTCGCGCAATGTTCGCGTAGAGGTAGAAAATGTAGTAATGGTAGGGAGGATTCTCATTCTTTGTCCAATTCTCGGGAGTAGGAATAAGCATATCCATGTGTGTGGTGTCTGGTTTGGACTCGTCGTCCACCGAGTCGAAGCCAACAACGTACTCCAGAAAGGCGTATAGTTTAGGATGAGAGCGGGGATTGAGAGTCACCTCAAAGAGCGGTTGGAAGATGTTCGTGATCATGTCCTACAAACAAAGGAACTCGTAAACGCCTGCTTTAGGGCTGGAATTTCGCAGCCTACGACTCGGGAAGATGGGATTAAACCTAAAGGAACCATATTGGAAACCAAGAACTTGGCGGGTAAAACGTGACAGACAACTTCACAAAAGGTCTTTTGCAAATGAAATTGGGGAAGTAGCCGGGTGGTTAGTAAATTATAGGGTCAATTACAGTCATCTAAAGGTCGAAAGTGCACAGTTTTCTGATTATTCAAGTTCATGTGAAAGCTGGCTTTATTAAGTCATAAAAAAGACATAAATTCCCCAAATAGACATTTTGGAAAACAACAGTCAATTGCGGACCGGATCCAGGGCTCGACTGTCGATTAATTTATACATCGGGGTCTAAAAATAGTACATTTGAAACACGATCAAATAATCACTCAAGTGAAAGGACAGTGTCCGATCAGATAGTTTGGTAATGCGTTGGGAAAAGGTCTTAGATAAAGTAGGTAAGCAGTACGGCTAAAAATTAGAAGTAATAGGGCGCAAAAAACTTCCAGGGGTTTTTTTGAGGCAACAGAAGGGTGAAAATTCTGCCCACCTGGAAACTAGAGATGGCTGCTTTTGATTTGTAGATATCGTAAAGTCTTGGGATCTGTATGATCCAGCGGATATTTGGAGAGTAGACTTTATGATCGATAGCCCAGGTAGACAGATCGTCCCACTCCGTTATGGAACGTCCATAGATCGAAAGGCGTGGCTCGGCATTCTGGTACTTGGACTCCTCCAGATCAGAGAAGACTTCCTAGATAGGAGAGAATAACGTACTGACATGATGCTCAGGGCAACTGTAATTCATGTTTTTGGAAACAGGAGATACAAGACAAAGTACTTGGAAATAAAATTACAAGACAGTGAACGATAAAATGATTGACTACTGACCTTGAGCACGTGTGCAAAAAATGCTCCCTTGTTGAAATTATCAGTCTTCAAGAAAACCTCTCGAAGCTGGCTCTGACCAATAGGATTGTACTTCGCGTTGAATTTGTCAAATCGATGGAACGTGTTCCGATCCTGAAAATGAAAACATATGCTCTGATTTGGGCTTAACAAATTTTTCCACGCCGACAGTAATCGGACAAAAGGACGTGCTCGAAAGATGAGCCATCCCGGAGGATAAACGGTCAGAACTTCCGGGGAATAAGTCCAAAAAGTCCCGACCTGGCATACGTCGGTTACCTTTTTCTCAAACAGTCTACCGAACAAAACCTACCTACTTTGTATCGGGACTTGGTCTGCAGCGCTTGGGCTTGCCGGAGGCTGAACGCATGACAGAAAAGCTATCGATCGACGGCTAATGGTCACTGTGTCACAATGCGATTATTGCTCTGTCAAGCAATCTAACGTCATGGTCATTACTGATTGACGACTATTGACTCGTCAGAGGTAACTCTGCTTATTTTTTTTAACTAGTCTTCACCAAAAGCCAACCCACTATCAGCGACCACTGCAAGGGGCAGGTAGAGAACAGCGCTTGCGTATTTTTGTTAAAGGAAGGAAGTAGACATTTCGGAGGTTAATTCCGTGTGCTCCACCGGATGGTGATGCAGGTACGGTAACTTATGCGTGGATTAGTTTTAAGTGATAGGTGACTTGCATAGCATCTACCGCGCGCTATCTCTCTTCCTCCACCCATTTGTGCCCAGTGT